TCTTAAAGATTTTCCAATAAATCACAAAATTGAAGCACATTACAACACACTCTTCTGCATAAAGTATGCTTTTCTGGTATATACTTTTGTAGCACATACTGTTACACTCTTCTACCTTATGAAGAAATGGACCTGGTATACAATTTTGCTGACACTGTTATTTTCAAATGTTGATAATGTTTTGCATACCACAATGTTTACATATTTCGTCGGTATCTGGTATATATGTCGAGGTATATCATATATTAATGATGAATTAAAGAATTTGTTAAACAAATATACTGATGAAGAATATAAACACCATCAATATCGTAAATCTGTGGCGAAGAAATTACATTATTTGCTGTGCTTACATTGTCGTCTAGTGCGTCTAATACGGCTTTTGAATGATGCTTACAGTATACAAATGTTGGCAATACGTATTACTCGGTTTTTCACTAACGTGATGATAGGATTCTATGCTATAGTGCTCTTCGAAAATTCATCAATAACATCATTTTGGATTCTGTTTGGGATCATAACTTATTTAGTGGTAACATTTGACCTCTTTGTGGTTGACTTGATTTGTCATAAGACTGTGATTTGTTACAATCAAACAATATCCATTTTACGGAATTTTAATTCGGTTTCTAAATTTCGATTGAGCAAAGGAGTCAATAAATCGGTAATTTCATTTCGATTATTTTCATTATATTCAATAAATGATGAATAACAAAAATTAAAGTCATAAATCAAAGATATGTCACAACGAGTCCTTGGTTATGTGGGATCAACTACTATGAAATATTTAAAAATTGAAATTATATATCAAATTTATATCACAATGATATATCCTTGGCCTATATAAACTTATTTATTGCCATATAATCAAAAACTATAATTACCATATAAATCAAATTTATATCAAATTTATTTATATGGATAATTGTGATATAATTAAAAATTAAAATAAAATTAAATATTATATCACAACGGGTCCTTGGTCTTTATGAGTCCAAATACGTTTTCTTGTGAGACTGCAATAATAATAATTAAAAATTAAAAATATATTTCTTTCAGATCGAACATTTCGTTTTACAGCTTTTTGGAAATAAATTGGAAATTGATTTGTGTGGTCTCTTCCATGTTAATAAGGGGCTCTGGTTTCAGATGATGACTGCAGTAATTTCTTATACGATTGTTTTGGTACAGTTTCATTTATTCTTAAGTCAGAAAACAAAGTGAAATTAGAAGACAAAGAGTCGATTTTTGTTTTTTCCCGGAATGAATATTGATAATAATGGACTTGTGAATGCGTATTAAGCAAAATTTTTGGAATTTTCTGTACATTTATTAATAATTAGAATAAATAAATATAAATGAAGTGGTTTTTGGATTTTTTTTACTTTCGATTGTAAAATGTCTTAATTGAAAATTCTGTTGGTAATTGAAATTAAACAAACAATAGCATTCCTAGAAATTTCACAAAACTTTCTGACACACAAAATCTTCTTCACATGCAATAATCAACTTATGCTAATGGAAACGGCTAAATCTAAATTTGATTAATTTAAGCTGCGGTGGGAACATGATATAATAAAATATAATATAGTTTGAAGGAAATTATTATTATTGTTGCCAGATTTTGAAGTAAGATATGGATTAGTTACAGATTATAGATTTTCATGACAATAAATTTCTTTCTCTAGGATATTTATACAACTTAAATATAACAATACATTTTAATTAATACTTTTTAATAGTTTTTCATAATAACATATTATATCCAAATAAAGTAAAGTGGTTGTCTTTATTTCAATATCAGGAAAATCTTTAATTTAAAACAATTGATTAATTAACTTCTATATAAGAGTAAGCGTAAAAATCATTTATGATAAAGTATTAAAATTTATAAATTTAAATTGAAATGTTCCTTATGTTTATTGTAAATTATTTAAGTTGAGTTCGAATTGTATAAGAGTTATGAAATACGAGAATGCTGTAGCTGCGATTAAATAGGCCAAGTGAAGATCCAATTTGAAGAGACCACAAATGCGCAAATCGATTTTGCAGCTTAAAAGTTTTAACATAAAGTTTTCAATCTGGAATTATTATAAAAACAGAAAAATATTAATATATGTATTTATAATTATTTTGGAATATCATATCATAATATATATATTTTCCTAGTTCAATAGCATTTATGACATAGACTAACAGAGAACCAACCTTTTTTCAACTCCAAACTGCAAAATTTTTTTAACATGCCATGATTACCTCATTTCTCTATTTGTAGGCAATTTAAATTAATAAAATGAATTTCGATTCTTCAAATGCAAGGACTTAATAAACATTTGAAACTAGTTATATTTATTTTTTCAGATCGACTAGTTTTATATGTTATAAAATTTAATAACACTCGCACCATTCGAATCAAATATCTATAAGCTTTAAAAATTATGATCACTATATCTGAGTAACCAAGGTAATTAACCTTGACGAAACGAGTGCTAATTAATAGCGGATAGGGTTAGTAGGATACCTGAAAGTATGAATTCATACTCACAATAGTACGGCAAGAAGATTAATACTTTCTTATTAGCACAAGTATTTTTAGGCAAAAATACATGGAATTTTTTATTGCATATAATAATTACAATTATATAGAACACAAATCCTCAATATCTTGTTCTTTTTAATACCAGATCTCTTTATCTCGATACGAAGTGTTAATTAGATAAATATCGAAAGAAAGTATCGAATTCAAAACTGCATACTATCTGAAGTATTTATTTGTAAAATTATTTTTTTGGAATGATGGAATGATTGTTGAATGTTTTCCTAATATATTTTAGAAGATAATGTTGGCTGGAACGTTATAGATAATGCAGATCGCTTTAGATTTAATTATTTCCTTGTGCTTCAACTTTATGACATTAATATGCAACAGCTATGGTTTTCTATGGACATTGCAGTGTCTTAAACAGCGCACAATAGCATACTCCTATCAGGTTGTATCAGAAAATAAGTGAAGAACGCATAATGATGGGTATTTGGCAATACTTGATACAGCTGTATGGTCAGCCAAAAATTCAATTAATCAAATAATATAAAAAACAATTTTTGTTGTTGTAGTTCATTACGTTTAGAAAAACCGCCTTAGAAAAAGTTTCGTAATTTTGTTTCATTTACATGGACTCTCATCACTCCAGTTTATTTGTTATAAAAATATGTGAAGGCGTTGATCTATAATTTGCGTTAATAATTTTCTGTGGCGATATGCGAAGTCGTTGGTTTACTCAGATAAACCACTTGGAAATTAGACTTTCAGAGTCAGTCAGGGTGCATATATATCCGAAGTCATATTCAAATATTAACGTCATATAACTATCTTATCAACACTTCAAAATTTGTAGAGTACTTGGTTGAAACCTAAATTTTAGAATATTACGCAAACTACTTAATATATCTCCAACTCTTTCCAAACTTTAAATAAACTTACCGTTTGGTCTAAACGTATATCTAGATTCGAACTCTCATTAAACAATCTCATGGTTTGTTTAATGCTCTTTAACTCCTCATGTAGGCTATCACTAGTCAAAATCACAATATAGGTGTCCAAGTAGAAAGCAAGTGCATGTATAGTGCTAAGCAAAATCACAATTGTATACTCGCTTAACTTATGCTTAACAAATAAACTGTATATTGTATAGCAATTAGTTAAGTTACTTATTAATGTGGTTAAAACCAGGCCCAACATCTGCCACTGATGCATGTGTACACTACTGGAATATAACTCATATATCTCATGGTAACGTTGAGCTAATATATCTAAACGATCACAGAGCATTACACAGAGTTGCATGGTCATACCTCGTTGTCCTGCTTGTCTATTAAACTTGTAAACCTGATAACTCTTATGTGTCAACTGTTTCAGTTGAACGTGCAATTGACGACAAAATTTCAAGGCGCTGGCATTCATAAAGAAAAAATAATCCGCCATATTTTCGGTATAATTCCAAAGCACAAAAGTGTAAATGGTGAATTGGGCACGTGCTGTTGGTGCACCTGTACAATATTGATATAATATATGAGCCAACTGTACTCCCATTGTGGAGTTTATTAGTCCAAACTTAAAAAGGAGCATCGTTTCAAAACGACGCTTGGGTACGTCTGTCTGATAGTCATTGGAAGGTGCATCAAAGATATCCTCCAAACGCTGTCGAGTACTCGTTATCTCATAAATGTGGTCGTAATGCGCATGATTTGCAATGTAAGTTATTACCACAACAATATATTTGAAAACAGTATTACCCACATTTACTACCAATTCGAGTTGCCAGATTCCATCAGAGTTGGCGATTAAATCATTCATATTTTTAGTAAAATAAATTGGCAATAAAACGATGAGTAAAAAACTAAATGCATGACTATAGTACGATATAAGTCGTTGGGCAAATGTGTTAGTCGACCGTTGCGGTATATAATTGATCATACTCAGACCAAGCAAGGTTGCATATACGTATCCATATTTGAAAAGATTATGTCTGTGTCTCTCCCAGAAAGTCTTCTCCATTTTTTTTTATTGTTGGCGTGTGATTTGTTGCTATTTTTTGTATAAATGCGTTATTGTCCGTATTCGCACACTTCAAAACATTTATTTACGTGACTAATGTTAAAATAATACTGTCAGAATAATATCAAAGCATATTGTAATCCAAGAGTAATCCTAGTCCATTGCATGTTTTAATAAGAGTAATATATTTAATTTGCAATTCCAATAATTTTTCTATAAACACATACTACATTGCGTGTTATGCGCATAATTGATAAGGACATGACATAAAATTTTGTATTAAACTTAAGAAATGTTTATGTTAAAATGTAATAAACATGAAAAGTGATATTCGTGGTATGTAAATATTTTTATAAATATATATTGGGCATATACTCGTATACATATACTCAGCGTAATATACTCGCAAAATAAAAACAACATATACAGTGCAGCGGAAAAGATTAAGACCAACTCAATATATTCCAATACACAAATTTCAAGGGGAAATAACGCCAAACACGTAAATATTTTAATTAATCGAATTTGTTTTTCAAATATGGATATTACCATCACACTAATTCCAATTCCAGCAACAATCTTTTAGCTCACTACGCTCAAAAATCTTGCGAAAGATCGATTGACAGATCTTTCGTATTCAGGCAGCGGTCTTTTGCAAGCCTGAAAGCTCTTTTCGGGTTTTCTAAAGGCCAAATGAAAGATCTGGTATTGATCACATCATTCGATTGTCATTCGATTTTTTATGATGAAAATTTTTTTATATAAAATAAAATATATAATAATTATAAAAAAAATTAAGAAAGAAATAGAACAAAACAGTTTTCTACCACGAGTTGATAAAACTTTTTTTGAAAGACTTTTGTGCTACAACAACTTAACACTTACGAACGGTTTTCCGGTCGATTTTAAAAAATCTTATGAAAGACTATTACCAAATTTTACCAGAAATGTCCTACAAATATTGACTCTAAGTAATAATGTTGTTGCTTACATTGGGCCGCTTTATGACATACAGTATATGTTAGAGAGTTTAACATATAGTACAAATTTAATGCATATCGATTCAGCGGTTAGGGACAACATTGAGAACCTACAGAAAACATCTTAATTTATTTATATATATGTATATAAATATAGATAATTTAAAATTTCTTGTCTATAAATTAAAAAACTTTAAATGCCCATACAGTATAAAAAAAATTGAAATTATTAAATTAGTTTTAAAAATATTTTGTTTTATTTTTATCAATATTTGGACTGTGGTCTATAGTTATTTTGATGATATTGATATAATAAAAATTTTAATAACATAGTAAGAAATTTAATAAATCTATATATGTATTTGTCATATGATTGTTTTTTATATAAGTTATAAAAGGCTTAAACATACGATTATGATAAAGTTTGTACGGATTAAAAATAATCTCGGTCCTGTACCAGACCGTTTCAACTCTGGATTTTTTTTGGCAATACTTAAAGGTAATTTAATATATTAAGTTATATAAAAGCTATATATATATTAAAACTATATATATATAAAGTTGAAAACATATTTTGTCAATAATGTTTTTGAAATCAATTTTAAGTTCGTACTTTAAATTTAATATATACAGGAACAGCACAATCATTATTAAGAATTATATATTTATATATATTATCTAAACTTTTTTAGAATTATAAAAAATTATTGATTTATATTTTAGAATGCAATAAAAATAAAATGCCTAACATTAAACAAAATCATTCATAAATGTAGAAAGGAGTTATAAAATTTGATGATGGAACTGAATTAGCATCGAAGGTCCTCTTAAACCACTTATATAAGTACATTAAATAACCTTCAGTTTAAAAATTGTTGGTAATTTATTGTTAAGTAGTCATACTTATCCACTTACAACCTTCAAAAATATTTAAATAAACTTCCACCCATACAAGCGTCATTTGTGTGCTTCTAGCTTCATTGATTTTTATTGACTTGTAAGCAAATGAGCCAAAATGGTAAAGCGCCATCTTCCTTCACCATTGGTGCTGACGCTGATGTTGATGGTTACGATAATGGAAATGATATCGTAATGCTGACGTAGCATCTACTTGAATTCCCAAATATACCAGTAGGGGTTGATAAATGGAAACGGTGAGTGCGAGTATTTGTACATTTTTAAATATTTGCATTTAAATTACTTATGTTTACGAATGGAGCAGTTCATATTTCAAGAGTTAATGATGATTTTATGGATGCTTTAGTATTTCATTGGATGTGTTCGCCGAAGTTTGGGTACAATTAGCATATTTTTAGTGAAAAATGATGGTTTAAATCTTTCTCTAATGTTTATTTAATGTATAATCATCATATATAGGCATTTTAAATATACATATGAACATAGGTACATGTATGTATAAATTATTGCGTGGAGTATACTTAAGAAATTAATAATCATATATTTTTTCCACTGCATTAAGGCATATAAATTATATTAATCATAATCATAAGTTAAATTTTATAGCTACCAATATATAAATTTTATAGAAGATTATTAAAACATTGAGTAATAAAAAAAAATATATATACAAAAAAATATTTAAGTACTACGAATACTAATTCAGTTAAATAAACTTCATATAAGTTAATATTAAATTATTTACTTAAATTAAGTATATGTAATAAAAAATACAATTAATATCGTTGAAGGGTTTGCAAAATTTATCACAGGCTTATTCACCCATAAAAGGCAACTCGGCTTTTAGAACATTTAAAAATATTTTCTGAATATCTGGCATAATAAAACTGTCAATACATTTTATTATATAATTCGTTGTATAACCGTTGAACGTTTTAAAACACTGAAAATTTAATACATAAAAAGGATGTCTTCGAATTAAATTTTTACAGGCTAATTTATCATTGAGGGGATATGTCAACAAATAAAATTGTCGCATCAGGGAATTCAGGGGCATGAAAAATCTACAAGTAACTGCCAAAAGATTATTGCATCCAAATAAATTCCCTGTAGACTAAATCTGTAGTCGTGAAAGCTCTTACTGTTTTCAACAGGACGAAGGTGCGACTCAAATCATCAACTCTGATCGTAACAGTCACTTGATTATCTTTTTTTTGTAGAGTCCAATTAAAGATATAAATGTCGAAGATATGTGGTTTGAATAGACGAATCACCACTCCGTAATTCTTATTGCACATCATGTTTTGAATTTATGGTTCGAGAAATTTCCGGAGTTGCAATCAATGTACTAAGTTGGACATATAGATCTTGTAACTTGTCACCAGTACAGTGCTTTTGTGAGGTTACGCAAAAGTTTTTCTTCATCAGTATTGCGTCGATAAGTCATTGAAAATTACTTAAAATGAATTTATGTTAGTGATAAAAATTGTCCCATGGAGAAGATTTAAATGATGTTGTATAATACTTAATGGTATGATCGGTACATTATATTCCGAGATATAAATCTCAATCTGAAGTGCGTTTTATGTACATTTGCTTTCGGAACCCAATACCGAATTTGTGTTCGTCCTGTCTAGTGCTATATTAACGTTTTTCGATGAAATTTAGAAGGAAATTAGGCATAGGTTATGCGCAGAATATTTGATATATGGAGGCGAAACAAAATTGCAAACTCATTGGATGTCTAAGAACTGAAATACCAAAAGCATAACTTCAGCACCCACAGAAGGTCTTAATGATTGTAATACATACTTTTAAAGCAGAAAAATTAATATATTTCTTAAGAGTTTTGCCAAGAAAGTAAAAAAGATTCGAAAAGAATCCAATTTGAAAAAATATACGTTGATACATTTCATTGGAATATGAATACTTAAAGCAAATGTATTGCAGAATTAAGTAGTTATTTTGATAAGGAAACGATTTCTATGCATATAGGTAAGATATAATTACTAATAGAAATTTAGTTTCATTTGTCGGTGTTGAGCATTTTCCGAGTTAGTGCATCTGGGCACTTTTACTCTATGATGGCTGGGGGGTTTCTGCAGAGTGCCACCCCTCTCACTGACTAATTTGAGTATTCCTCATAAACTTCGTGATTATTCAATGATTGATGTAAGATCTGCGTAGCGCCCCGTACGGTTAGTTCTTACTCTGAGATTAGATAGTGCTAAGTAAAAATATAAAAAGACGTTAAATAAATAAAAAACACTTAACAATTTTATACAATTTATTGCTTATGTGATTTGTATTAGTAATATTTACACAATATTACAAGTAAATAAGATTTATTGCGTGATATGTATTAGAGTACATAAATTATATTTATTAATTTTTTATTTTCATGTGCGTATACTATATATTTTCGAAAGTGAAACCAGTAAGACCGCAATGTTGAGTTGCTGTGTTATTTTTATTTAAGTCTTACTATGTTTTATTTTTAAGGTAAAATACAATATAAGACATTAAATTTATTTACTGGGCACAAGCAATAAATTTATTTGGTTAAGACTACGCAGCATCATATCCAATTTATGCTTGAGGAAAACAAAATTATGAACACATCAACACACGTTTGTGCTTGGAAAGATGCTGAGATAGATTTTCATGTTAGCAATAAAAATCGAAATCCAATTCAAAAATTAAAGGAAATCTATGTAAGTGAAAGCCATACATATGTAGAAATAATATTTATAAATAAGACTTAGCTTCAGTTTTGTTTCAGAAGGTTAGTTTTTACTGAACAAGGTTGACTATAAATTTACTGATGACTGATGAGCGTCAATAAGAGGAAGTAGGAGGAGACAATTAAGACCCGAATTAGGTTCTTTTAACCATAGATTAATATAAAATACTTATTAAAATATATATTGATGAAAATAATATATTTGATGACACTTGCTCTTTTTTATTTAAAAATATGTTATGAACTGTGCCACTGTTTTATTGAAAACATATAACTTTACGTTCATATCTCCCATTTCATTTGCAAATAAGTTGGACATCATGTGGCCGTAACGATGAATATAGACGGGGACCTATGAAACGTTTAGAACAAAGGTAACACTTCTAATGGGTTGAATGGTATTTCAACCCATTAGAAGTAAATGAGGTTTACGAAACGGATAACCCCTTTTCCGATTGAGAATGCTCATCAAAATACTAAGCTCTCCAATTTACTATAATAACTATGCTGTAAGTTGTTCATTCCACAAAATCATAAAGATAAACATTACAGTGAAGGATTAGATGAAAAATTCAAGCGTACTGCCTGTTTTGGCTCAGTCAGCTAAAACATAATAGGCAGTAGGTTAACATCAGCAGAATATTTAGTTAATTTAACTCAATTGAATGAAATTTTAAATTGATTAAAAGTTTTATAATCTCTTAAACTTTCAAGGCAAAATCCTTTTCAATAAATACCATAATTAATTCATTATTTTGTTAAGATTAAAAGTTTCTGAATCCACACAAAAGTATTTGTATCTCGATGCGACAAAAAGATTAGTTGAAATTTGTAGATTAACATAATAAATGAATGCTTTAAATATTATCTACGCAGAGAAATAATATCAAGTTCAATATTAAAAATAGAAAAAAGATAGGTAAAATAGAAAAAACTTAATAGAATGAAATATAAGAATGTTATAAAAATTTTTATGAAATTTGGATTCAGCAAATACAAAAGTAATTTCGACTGTGTTAACATGATGTGAATATATAATATCTACCATTATCATAGTGATGAAATTTATCAACAGTACCTCGTCCTAAAAAATTTAAATATTATATATTTAAGGGTATAAGAGTGTATTTAAGGGAATTAACGTGGATACTTGCCGTGAAGGCTCAACACCATAGTGTTCTTCACACATACATCGGTGTTTTACGACGCTAAAAGCTCCATTGGAACACCAAGGAATTTTGCTGGTACCAGTTGAAGTTATGTTTTTGGGCATAATTTCCCCCATAATATATTTTAGGATTGATTGTAGAAGTGGCTTTGCATTTCAAAGCTCATTCTGGTACCACGTAAAATTTTTTCTTACGAATCGCATATTAATTGTTTGCTTTTAAAAGCTGGAGTCTTCTAAACTTGTCCGCGAAGATATATGGGAAAAAAATTATTGTTCATGGTTTTATTTCTGCAGCTATTGAGAGTGATACCTCTCTGTTTCGGCTATTATTTGAACAATTATGGTCTAATAATATCATCAGTTCATGAACAACACTAAACAGTAAATTTGTCAAAATGCATCATAAGTCGATGGATTGATTTTAGGTTTTCTTTACTTTTTAGAATCTAGTCTATTAATTAAAAGACTCTAAAGTTCAAGGCAGTGGGATTGCCATATATTTATTTTGTCCTTGTGCAATTTTGACGATATTTAAGTTCTAATTCTGACATAATATTTAACATTTCTTAACAAGAATGACGGTTGAAATGAGCAATATGTACTGTATGAATATTGAGGATGTATAGCCACTTAAGTGAAGAAAATAAGCAAAGTTGATATTATATAGATTGGCTGCAATGTACTCTTCTTAAGGATAGCCTGCAGGAACTTCCACTTTGTATGTAGTAGTTTTAAGGAAGTAAACACGAAACAATCGTTTATAAATAAGGTTAACTGAGTTTTGATATCTAAGCTCTATATCATCCTATGTAATGTCTTAGATGAAGAGGGAACTATTTTATAGGTTTTGAATCTTTAAAATAACATAAATGAATTTAATAAAAAATTTAATTAAAGGTTTCTGGCAATTAGTTGAGTATTCTGAATATCCTTAAACGTGATATTCTTTGCTATATATTCTTCATAATATTCTAATGAAAAGTATGTAAAATACTTAAGTTAAATTTAAAGTCAAGTACCATTTACCTATGTTAAAAAAAATATTTATCTAAACACTTATTCTTCTATGTTATTTGCAAAAGTTGCATCAGTAATAAAAAAAAATTTTTAACTAATTTATTAATGGCACTCAACACTCTTATCTACTTAAGAACGTTTTTATCTTATTTGTATTTGAGAAGAGTCAAGTGAACACTTTCAGCTTTAAATGCGTATCGTTCTGAAGGCGTCTTCCACCAAAAACTGTAAGTAATCTTTAATATTTAAAAATATACACTTTTCAAAGGAATTTCGTGTAAATATTTACTGTTTTTAAATTGAAGTGTCGTTGTTGTCACTTAGGAAATAACTTCCGAACGAATTTTGGATATTAAAAAAAAAAAGAAGAGTACAAAATTACACCTAAGTAAATATTTTAAATAAAAAAAATAAAATAAATAAAAAGAAATATGTTCCCTAGAATGACAAAGTCAACATGTACATATTAAAAAAAAAATACCATGTTTTATTTACAGTAACATACTTCTAGGCGCCAGCAAGCGTTGTTTGAAGTAAATATAATAAAATATATAGAATTTCTGTCTGCAGTGTTGCTTTAGAAGATGTGAAAAATTTATCATTTTAAGTTAAAGTTATGCTTGTATTTAAATTGAGCTATAGAAAGTAGGATATGCAAAGGATATGCAGAGGGGTATGCGCCCAAAAGTAGCTAATGTGAAAAGTTATTTTGTACTTCACTGTTAAAAATTTTCATAAAACCATTATAAACATTTTTTACGGTCTGGGAACAAGCGTTGCGGTTCATTGGTTCCTTTTACCATATCGGGAAATGTTTACTTTGCTGACTTTTTTTAAAATCCCTTAACGAGAACATGTGTTTTACAATGTTTTGGTGGCATAATTTTATAATGATATGCATTTGACTTTATTGCATTACACAGATACGCAAGATATATGAGTATTTTCATTAGAATTTTTAGGGTTATTTTTTATAAAAATGTTTTTATGTGGTTAAGTTTAATACTGCCTTTTAAGTACATCTCATAAAGAATATTTAAGAGCATTCTGAATAAATTGTTATTGTTAAATAAATCAAAAAATTAATTTTTATCTAAATAATTAAGTGTTTAAGAGATCTTATGGCTTATTAAGTGGCACATATTATATGTAGAAAAAATATTTTATTTCCACGAATATTTCTCCTAACAACTCAATAAAATTTAATTTGTGGGCACATTAGATGTAATGAAGGTTAATAAATAATCATTATAACACAATAATATAAAATTTATAAGAGTTAATTAACATAATTATTTTTACCAATTTATTGTGTTTGACTAAGTAACCTGACATACACCCTATTGACTCACTCAGCATATGCGTGCACAATACTATGACATATTGACATGGTTTTAGGTACTCTCATGCTTTTGATTGTAAATTTATTAGAAATATTAGATACTTTGTAGGTATATCTACATATTAATTCCATATGACATATATGAAGAGAGTCATAAAAGTAAATTTATTTATTAGATATTCAGTTTGTTGGCGCAAGTGGATAGAAGTTGTTCTTTAATTTTTGGAGTTTTGAGGAGTGATTATTTTGATATAAAATTTTATTTGTTATTAAAATTACAATGAAAAATAATTAATATAATTATTATTTATTTTTTAAAATCTTATGATTAATTTAAATGTGTTCATTTATTTTCAGAAAAAAAAATTTCTAATACACTTTTCACGACATTTGCGATGTGAATTGAGATGTAACTAATTTTTTTGTGACAATCAGTTCAGTTTGTAAATGGTTTAAGGTAAAAACGCAAATATTCCTGATTCCTGGTCATGTGGTATTATTTATCAGTAAATAATAGTAGATCTCTTCTGGTTCAATAAAAGTTGTATGGAGATATGTATATTATATTCGCTTTTCGGTAATCGTAGAAAAACGAAAATTTGCAGCTGATGGACACCAACAATATACTCAATGTACATTTAAAAAATTTATAATTCTCATTAGCTAAAAATTTGTTTTATAAGATTACCCTGCAAATACAAAGTTAAGTGTAAATAAATTTAATGAAGTTCTTTGTTGGTTCTGTCTTTAACTTTTTTTTTGTATGCGATTTAGTGTCAATTGTTATAGGGGAAATGGGGGGGGAAATAATTAGTTAAATATCTTATACATGTTTCCTGTGATTTGATCTGTGAAATTGTTGTGACTAACGGCGGTATGTTCATTTAAGACTCTTGTAAAAAATGTAAGAAACCTGTTCGGATAAGTTTTAGGCTTTTGGGATTGATCTTGCATCTCTGTAACTTTTATATTCCTAGTTTCTGAGCACTTATGCATATGTGCGCAGTGGCAAAATGTCAGATTCGTTTAAAAGGGAAAAACACTTCTAGTCATATTTTTTTGTTACACTTTGGTTTCGGTCCAGTTAGATTACAGCAGGACAAAAGCTCTAACTAATATTAGGAACTATTTGATGAAACCATTTTTGTTTGTCAGTTCGAATTGTTGAAAGTATTTTATTCAAATAACGTTCGATTTAGTAATAAAATTTTTTTAAATCAATGATTCTGCTCCACTAGGACTAATCTGCTAAGACCTAATGGCTTAGATAAGAGAAACAATAGATATTCTAAGTTCCAATAAACTCAGTGTACTTACCGGCTGAAGTATTTACAGGAGCTGGTGCTACCAAATCTTCGACATTGGTACATTCCAACAAGTAGAATCTGCAGGAATTACAATAAAGAGTAGGTGAAATTTATCAATCACTTTCTGTGCTTTTGTTTCTGCCTATATACCATGCGGTTTCAATATCTGGGAAAACCAGACATATTTAAATATTAACCAAAAATATTTAATTGAATGATATAACATTTCATGTAATGGATGCCCTTGAACCTCTACGCGCAGTTCGCGTTAATCTAGCCTAAACTTACCTAACTTGGTCCATAGGGAGCATAATTCCCTGTTGTTAATCTAATTTAGACTAATCTAAAGTAATAATTATTATTATTATATTTTCATATATTTGTTATAATATTGTACTCATCAAAATAACTATTAACAAATATGTAATGTGTAATATGTGACAATATAAGAATATTATTATAATATTAAGAATATTATTTGTTTATTGAAATGATGAAGCCAAAGCAATAATAGATCCTGCTGCTTGTAATATCTAAAATGTGATATTTTATAGTTTTTAAATGATATGTGCGGGATATATGAATGTGACCAACCGATGCGAATGTAACAAGCGATGGATTAAAGAAGGGTACTGCCATTGTTATTGGACGTTGCGATCGCAGTATCATTAGTGATAACAAGCGACGATTTTTCGGATTACAAAGATGCCAATCACTACAAAATATAGTAGTGCCTATTTGAGTGCTCTACAAATCGAAAGACAAAAATTATTCAACTGTATTTTAATTATAACTTCATTCATATTTTATGTATATAAACTTACATTTTCTGCTACAATTGTTCCACCATAGCAGTATATGAACAACTGTGATAATGCAGCAATTGTGTAGGCTATATAAACGAATCTACCTACTCCAGAGAACTTTGTGAAGTTTTGTGAAAAACAGAAAAATATTTGTATATAAATATAATATAATATAAAACTATTAGTATCTGCAAATAAAAAAATGTTGGATTAAAAAATATTAAATCATAGAGCAGTAGTTATATACCCCTGTAGATCAAATTTTGATTTGGAACGGAGACAATAGTTGGGAAGAACTGCTGACACATACAGTTGATATTTTGTGGCAAGATCATTTTGTATTGATAAAGTATATATTAAAAAAACATTTATGATAGAAGTTCAATTTTATTTTCTACTCAATGGTGGCTTATACCATTATATCATACCAGGTGAAAGGTCATTATGTCTACATAATTTCATAAATTTCAAAAGTAGCAATCACTTCAGTTAGTCATTGTTTTAAGAAAAAAAAATGTTTAGTACCCTAGCGAACATTTCTTATAGGTCATATGATCTGTCATCAAACAAATTGGTGTATTGTGACTAACAAAGAGAAGTGAATCTAAACATTTTAATTTTAATACTTCAACTATGTGAGTTCAAGATATCTTAAAAAATATTTTTTAAAAGGTATCTTAAAAAATATTTTCAAAAGCTATACTAAGAAAAATTTTTAAATTATTTTTTATACATATAAAAAATTGGACTTACGGATAGCACATCGAAGAGACTTGCACCAATAACCATGCTGGCGGAAACAAAATGCGCTAACGTCATTGTTATATAACAATTTCGAAATAAAGTTGTAATTTCCATTATCTCATTTTGTCGTTTGATAATCTTAAATAATTCTTCTTCAAGTCGTTCAGCCTCAACTGCCGTAGATACTACTTTTGCTGAGTATTTATTAAGCAAAAGTATTAAAAATATATGATTAATTAAATTTCAAACATCTAGTATCCGTACTTACATTTAAGTCCGTCGAATACCATTTTAATATCTTCTTGTAATATTTTAAGTAACAAGGCGAAGTTGGAGCAGGACTCATAATAAAAAGAATCGCAACCTGAGAACATAAACACGGTAACATAAGCAGTATAAGCAGTAAATATATATGATAGCGGAAAGTACGGAAACTTTAGAAGACCCGCTGGTAATCTAAATAATAAATTAGTAAGATTTTGTAGAAAATTAAAATTTAGCTTCAGTAAAAATTCAGACAATGAAAAACTGACGTCATATTAAAAGGTGTCCTCCATACAAAACGGCTGCCATGTCTATGTGAAATCCACGCCTCAAAAAGTGGTTTTAAATTGTATGTAGTTGAAGTAAGCAAGCCCATGCCAAAAGTAGTAAGCCCCAGTCCAGTTGCCAAACGACTTGAAGCTCCCATGATATTCCTTTTGTTGGTTGTCAGCTTAGCTGTTGGCACGCCATAATAAAAAATATAAAAATAAATAAAATAAGATAAAAAATTTCACTGTTATGTTATATTTCATCTGACTTGGATATTTGTTCTAGTACCTTTGTTGGTATGGTATAGTAAATAATGTAAACGTTCAACTGTAAGTTGCAAGTCATTTCGATGCCAATATATTAAGTACATTTTTAGCAAAGTTACAGCTGAAGTACCTGCTGGACAGAGCGTGTCTAATCCTAGCTCGATATCATATTTCAACGCAGTGAAGCCAGCATGTAACTCTGTGAAAACACCAATAAAAAGTACTATGAAATTTGTAGTTGCCCACAAATTGGCACTTAAGGACCTAACTGCACTTGGCCAATAACCCATGGCACCCAAGCACAGTCGAGGCACACAGTAAAAGTAATCGTCCAATGAAGCAGAACGCTTTAGTAACTTCAAAAACATTTTACTAATAAAATTTTTATTATTTTCTACAGAAAATTTTTGCCTTCAGAGTCACGTAGTTAACAAAGTATACCCGCATGAAAACTGCTACGCTTCAAAAGGATAAGTACTTTTTATACTTGCCATTGGATTTGGTTATGCAACGACTTCTGTTGTGTTTCGCAATATCTTTAAATAATGCAGGAATGTGAAAATTGTTTAAAATTAGTTACGAAGTTTGGACTTCCATATCAATAAGCGATTAAAAAAACTTTTCATCAGATTGTAAATTATTTAATATCTTTAAAAGCGCATTTTAGCACATTTGGACTTTAGCAACAATTTATTTTTTTTCACAAAACTATTAAGGTATATATTTCTATATTGGCTAATATCTATTAAAATGCAATAAATTCATTTGAAACCACTTTAATTGCTTGTTTCCCGGAAATTTTAATTTTTTTAGAATTAAAGGAACATACCATAAGCCGTATAGATATATAAATAATGATATTTATATAAATAGATTTTTATCTAATTATCTTTTATGTTTATATTTAATTTTCATATTATTTTTTTATTTTATTTTATTTATATTATATATTTTTGTCATTTCAACACAGAATGACAATTGAAACATCTTGAATCTTTTATTAACTTCCATGATTAATTAAAGGTATCACAACTATAATTGTTTTATACCAAATCGAATATGTATTCATCTTAAAATAAATTAATCTATATAAAAGTCAATAGCAGCTTCATACACATATAGTCTAAAGGAATGCTTCCATTTGTTAGAAATACTTAGTGACCCTTAAAAATTAAAGATTGCGGCTTACCCTCAATGGTAAAAAAATAATTAAAATGCAATTAAAGTTTGTTAAACAATTTTTAGTTAATTGAGCTAATTTGTTCTAAAATTTTAATATCCTTTACATAACCAATTACAAGCGTTTTGACGCATTAATTTATAATTGACTTTATTAACCTTGACTATTGTTGTCCTTTGAAAGGGTAATCAATTACGTTTTCTGAAAAATTATTATAATAGTTATTAAATAACGTAATAAAGTCATGAGGCACTAGTCGCTAATAATTGCCATTGATTTCATTCATTGCCAATTTAGGGTTTTAGGTAAATAAATAACACCAAGCATAAGCAATTCAATAATAAGTGGTATTATATGGAGAATACAATTTAAGAATTTGTGAAATGATTTAGTATTTGCGGTGCAATGTATTTTTTCTCAGCTCCCCAACTACATTTACTAAACCATCGGGTTGGTATAAGTAAGCTCCATATTTTTTTAAATCGAATATAACCAGCTTTGTTCATTCCTCAAAACAGAAGTCATTCAAAGAGTTTAATCTTTACGTAAGTGTTCGTAAAGAGCAAAAAGCATGCATGTCTATTACACAATGACCCAGAAGAAAGGCCGTCGAGAGATTAATACCAGTATATAATGAGCTCAGGAAAGTGAATAAAGCCAAAGATTCCATAAAGTGAAAGAGATATCTACTGCTGAAAATCTGAAGGCACCTCCTAATCACTTAAGTTAGATTCCAAGTGGAAGGTCTATATGATAGGAAAGAAATTAAGTACGCAAGTATATATATAATAAAAGATCAGATATTTAAAGATTAAAGAATCAGTTTGAATATATATAACTTATTGTAATTAAATTATAATTTATTGTAAACAATTTTCCGAGAATATTCAATTAACGATTCGACAACACGACGATTTTAAACTGAGTGACTTGGTTTATCTGTTCGCCTTCTATAGCCAAGTGATGAGATAATAATATGCACTTTCACGTCGTTTTGTTATCCATGAGCTTTGATCCATGAGCAGTTTTTTAGTTTCCATTTATCTTGTGAAACCCCGAACAATTCCTTTTTCATTATCTAAAGAAGCATTCAATTGAAGACAATCCACTCTACTCAGTAAAATAGCTCAATGGCAGTTTACATTGACAGCATCGTTTAGGTTTATTGATTTTATTACTAATATTACGTGAAATATATTTGTTCTTAAAATACTGGAATAATTTAAAAAATTTATGTGATTTTGCTTCATTTTTATATCAAAAATATTCGAAAGTATTGAAGTCGCCCTCCAACAACTTTTTTCCCTTTTATTCATACAAATAAAAAAGTACCCTTCAGTTCTCTTTTTATTATTATGTTGAAGTTCACTTGAGCACTTTTACTCTTTCTTAACTCGATGTATTTTCAAAACCACTTTTCACGCCTTGACTTGATTAATGTTTATCACTTCATCAGATTAAGCAATAATTGACCTCAGATCTACATACCTCACCGAGGAGCCTGTAACCATTTTGAGATTTGATAACGCGGTGTTGGTAAGTCTGTTAGATTTCGTAAATAATTTCAGGGCTCTATCCTTTATGTATTTTTTGATAAGATCAATCTTGAGGTCCCTGAGGATGTCATTCGTCCTTATGTATCATGGTACTTTGAAAAGTCTTCTCAGAGCCTGACTTTGTGCGATTTCTAGCTGGCGAATAGTAGTGTTTGAAGCTTTACTAAACGTTGCAAAACCATATAGAAGTGACGGACGAATTATTTGGTTATATATCAGTTTCCTGCTTCCTGCATTAAGATTTTAATTTCTGAATAGCGGTTGGAGGTGATGAAGAATTTTGGCACAGTTAGTTCTTTGCAGTTGAACATGTTTAAGCCATGTGAATCGTTTGTCCAGCGTGGTACCGAGATATTTAACGCTATCCTCCCAGTTTTTTACCATATCACCTACTCACACTCTCGACGGATTTTGTCTCCACTTCTGTTTTCTTTTTAATACATATAATAATTTTGAGACTTCCGATGGAACTATTGAATGAAAATATACTCAACGTTAAATAAATTTTAAATAAATTTTAATGAGATAGTAACATTAATGAAATCATGAGTATCATAAATTGTATTTAATAAACAAATATCTTAAATTGTATTCCTTCATATAAGTAAGAAGATCCATAATATTTACTTGGAATGCATATCCTAATATCTGTAAATGTCAATAATCCAAAAAGATACTTCACACATATAAGAATTAAATTACATGATATGTAAGATTTTCTATTTTAATATTAAAATTAAAAATTCCAGGATTAATTCACCAGAAACTCTTTAGCGTAATAAATTGTATTAGCTTCGATACCTTCACGTGTGAATGGAAGCTCTCCTACCTGTTTTGCATTAAAATTAGTAAACAGTCGAGCACCTCTCAAGAAGCAAATTTTTATAATAAATAAGCCAAACAGAAGTTTAATCTGGAGAAGATTCAGTTAATATGCAGGGAACGCAAGTTGGTAATCTTTACTTTCCGCGCTGCTGTCTACGTTGACAAATCACATTAAATCAGTTTTAATGAATTCGGGAAAATAATAATGACAGGAGACGTGCGTGAGATAAAACAAGGGATCATTGTGCGTTAGCAGTAACTAACGCTAATGTCACTGTGACATCCGAAGGTGTAACGCACCTTGATTTAAAGTTAATTTATTTGGTATAAGAAACGAAAGCAAAGAAAAACATAAAAATAATTGAAATTAATCAACACCATGCAGACAATAGAGGATGAGATATTTTTGTTCAATAAGAATTGGAAGCGAGAATTTATTAATTTTGAGAGTAATTATCAGATAAATAAATAAACAACATACAATGTTGATTATGAAAAAACAATTATTGAGATTATTATTAATAAAGAAGAAGAAATAATACTTCAAATTTTTGATGCGACTTTTGTGTATAAGCGTGGCATCCCCCTTATAGATCTGAATATAATAGACGTGAATGAAATTGCGTAATTTACAATTTTGATAAAAAACTGATTAGGAATATACAATTTCTAAATATTTAATATATAAGATATTAACATATGTTATCAATTTTCTATGTCACATATAGAAATTGTTTACAATACTTCAATGATAAATTTTTTTGTTTGTTTAACATTATCTGTAACAGTAAAGAATATTTTTTGTTTATATATAATAATATATAAATATATTTATTTTAATTAATTCATGTGATTGTATTTTATTTTATTTGTTCTTAATTAAGAGTAATAAATATTAACTATTATTTTAAAAAAATAAATTTAACACTAAATATTATTAAATATTTAAATTATTATAAATACAAAATATAAATATAGTTATATATATAAAATAATATTGCTTAATACTAAATATATTATAATACTAAAATAATATTATAATTCCAAATAATTTACATATTCAGAGGAATATTTACTTCATCTTAATAGATTGTTGTTATACAAAAAGTAGTAAATCTCTTTAATTAATACAAACATACATATACTATTTATACTACAATGTGTTTCTTTACTAAATGTGAAGAATATTGGAGATAATTATTTGGATCATGAATCAAAACTGTAATTGGAAGAAAGAAGCGTAGAACGATTGGAAATTAAAAGAATACCAAAAAAAAAAATAACATTTGCTGCATTTTGATAAAAGAGTTTCGGTTTCACATATACAACAGCGTCCATTTACTCTCTCTATTACTAATGACCCTTTTCATCATACCTTATGGATTTTGAAGACTTGGAAGTTGATTTCCATGATTTCCAAACAAAAACTGACTTCATTACAATGGCTGTATTTCTTGGTAACTGGTGATGATGTAAATGATTTTGATTCACCTGAAGTATAGTACTATCAACAGATCTGTTTTACCTTGGCTATATTGCAACGTAAAGGATATTAAAGGATATTATATTAAACGTAAAGGATGCACCATTTTTATTTCAGATTCTCTTGTTGTTTTTCGTTATTTTTATATATCAGTTAAAAACAAGTTGAAAAAACAAGCCTTTTAAAAGACATTAACAATAGAAGGAAACTTTACATATTTACAATTAAAGAATGGTAATTCTTATATGTGAAAAATGTGAAATTGTTGAAATATCATTTTTCTCTTACATGATACTGATCTCAGAAAAGAAATTAAAGAGTATA